TTTTTTGTGAGGCCTTCCCTTTTGCAAATCCCCTGAGTTGAGCTTTCCTTCTCAGAAATTTTTATGAACCTACTTTTAAGCTTTTATGATAGCACTGATTATATTTATTTTTACTTAATTACATCGTCTTTCTCCCTATTAAACAATTTCTTGAGACGGATTATTTTCATGTATCAATTTATCAAACATTTGAGTGTCCATTAAATAAAAATTACTGGGATTTGTTGTAGGAAAACAAAACATAAGGTACAGACCCTGCTCTCAAGTAGCTCATGTTTTCATGGATGAGACAGACAGGTAAATGGGAAAATATAATATATTGGGTTGTCGGAAAAGTCATGATGGTATTTTTGCAACAAAAAACATAGAAAAAATATGTCATGACTTTTCCGACAACCCAATAGTTTGATGGATGCTTTTGATAGATGGGTTTCACTGAATGCTCTGAACCCACCCAAGAGGAGCATAACTGAGAATAGGTAGTGAGGTTGGTCTAAGGCAGGTTTCCTAGAGGAGGTAGTAATCTGAGTCTTCTTAAAATTTTTAAAATTTAATTTTAAAAGTTGTCTTGAAATATGAGTGAAAAAGAGGAGAAGCAGATAAGAGTGTTTCTTACAGAGGGGACATGTGCAAGGGCATGAGGACTTGAAAACTTAAGTGTAGGAATTATAAGTAGTTTTGAAGTTTGGTAAAGCAAGAGTGGAGTGTGTGTGTATGAAGGGGTGGCGAGGGGCAATGAATAAATCGATCACAGACCAGAATGTAATCCTGATGAGTTTGGATCTTACCCTCAAGGTAGCAGGGATCTAACAAGGTATTAAGTTGCATGTGACTAACAGATTTGTGTTTTAGAAAAATAACTTAGGTGGTAGAGTGGAGAATGGACTGGAGAGCCTAGTGAGAGTCTAGTTGGGAAGCTGTTATAGTAATCTAGGTAAGAAATAATGAGGGTTGGAATTCAAGGGAAGGGACAGATACTGAACAGATTTAGGAGGTAAAATCGTCAGGATTAGGTACTGGATTTTGTATTTTAGAAACAGGAGTTTGGAAGAATTTTGAATTTCTCTTGAATGACTAGGTGGGTGGTAGGGTAGAGAATAAGTAGTATGGGTTTTGGTAGGAAAACTTCATTTAGTTTTGGGCAGGTTGTGTTTGATGTTTTCTGAACATCTCCAGGTAGTGATAGATGAGTTGGGGAGGCAGTTGGGTCTGCAGTTCTGGGATTTAGGAGAGCAGTTTGGGCTAGAATCTAAGCTTGTAATTTTGCTATGCTTTGAAAAGATGGAAGTGGTTCCACTTTTTTGTGTTGTGGGAAGGTGTGAGGCGGTGGGGGTGTTGTGGGGGGAGGTGGATGACTTGATAGGGATTGGACCAGGGTGAAGGCCTGTGGGGTNCTTTTGTTCTTCAGTCCAGTTGTGGAGGACTTTGCTTCACTGGCCCATGTTGGTATTATCATTGCACTTTTCCCGGGTGAGGCAGTCGCTTGCCGGCCACTGGACGGCCGCTTACGGAGGCTCACGGGCTCACGGCTGCTCATGAGAGCGCATGCCAGCTGCAGTCCAGCCCCACTGCAGCCTACGCTGTCGGCAACTCACAGCAGCCCAGCTCTAGGTTGAGCTGTTGTTCATCATCTTAGCTGTAGAGGGCGCAGCGTCACTGGCCTGCATGAGGGAACTAAACTGGGGCCCTGCTTATCAGAGCAGCGTTCCAAGCCAACTCTTAAGCAATGCGCCACTGGGCCGGCCCATGTTCTTGCTTTTTCTATATTGACTCTTGTTTTCTTCTACCCAGTGGCAGGATTATAAGGAAGTGAAATAAATACCTTGCTTTGATCAGCCCTGCAGCTGTCTTTCCCTGATTACAGAATGTTCATTATATCAAATACATACAATCCCAAAATGTTAAGTAAGTGAATTTATGTAGACAGCAACTGTGTGTACAGTATATGTTTCAAGGCAGTGGACAGCAGAGAGAGGTGCTGGAAGATGAGAGACAATCCCTGCCAGGGTTGTTAACTTTGGGCTCTAGGGAGCCAACAGATAATGAGCTTCAGTGAGCTTTCATTAAGTTTACCAGTGTCTGTCACCTTAAAAATGTGAAAAACAAAATACTTGTAGTGTATAGCAATATATGTTTACTTTGCACCCTTGGTGACTGTGTCATTAGACCTTTGAGTTTCCTCATAACTCTGTACTGTCTTCCTCATCTTTGTATCCTACCCCCTAGCAATTACCACAGTACTTGGCATAAAAAGCCATTCAGTAAGATATTTGTTGAATGAATTACAATTAGGTTTGTGTGTGTATTTTAATTGGAGGAAAGCAAGTCTACATATTGGAATTTGACTTACTCCCTTTTCTTTGAGAGGGAAGACCATAATTTTCAACTGCTGTGCGAAGAGTTATTTTTAATTAAGCAATACAGAGAGAGTCAAGGCTGGGAGCAGTGGCAACAATAGAATAAAAGATGAAATGGATCAAAGATGTTATTTTTATCTTCAAAAAATCAAATTTATTAATCTTTTACAGTTAAAATTTTGTGTTTTTTTAATAAAGGAGATGTCCAGTTTACAGACTATATTCAGTAAAATATTGCCACTATAGATAACTTCTTTTATTTTTTAAAAAAAATTAAATTTCTTTATACTATAAATCTTTCTGAAATCTTGGCCCAAGCCAAAGTGATGTAGTCTGGAAAAAGCAAATGGTAGTTATAGTATAGAAACTGTTAAGTTTTCAAGGGAATGCTTTCTCTTTGGATCCTCATGAAACTTTTTTTGTTCTTGTTTTAAGTTACTTATCTCTGTTCCCTTCAGGGAAAGATTCTGATGTCATTGCAGGTAGCATTTTGGAAACCATTGCTTAAATTTGGATTCATCAGAAGTTTCTTTTTTTTTTTCTTTTAAAGATTTTATTGGGGCATTGTGGGAAGGAACAGCGTTGGGGAATTGGGGAAGAGGAACAGACAAGTTGCTGTCCTTTTGTTCTTCAGTCTAGTTATGGAGGACATCGCTTCACTGGCTCATGTTGGTATTATCATTGCACTCTTCCTGCGTGAGGCAATTGCTCTCAGGCCATTGGACAGCCACTCACACTGGCTGCTGGANTGTTGGGGAATTGGGGAAGGGGAACAGCCAAGTTGTTGTCCTTCTATCTTAGTTGTGGAGGGTGCAGCTAGTTTAGCTCCAAGTCCAGTCGCCATCTGGCCGCCGGTCAGCAGATCAAGGCAGTTCAGCTCAAGGTGTCGTGTTCAATCTTAGTTGCAGGTGGGCATAGCCCACCATCCCATGAGTGGGAGTCGAACTGGCAAACTTGTTGTTAGGAGCACATGCTCTCATCAGCTGAGCCATCCTGCCACCTGTTGGCAGCTCAGTGGCAGCTCAGCTAGGGTGCAACTCACTGGCCCATGTGGGAATCTAACCTGCCACCCTGTTGCTCAGAGCTGGCACTCTTAACCAACTGAGCCGCTTGGCTGGCCCCAAATTTTGTTCATTTTTTGATGTGCAGTTTTTGCACTGGCTAAGAAATATAGATGAATTATTTTTAATATAAAGCATATGGTAGATTGATTTTTGTCATTTGATTCAAGGACTGTCAACTTTTATGTTATTCTTTATTCAAAAACTACTGTTCTATAAAGAAAAAACATTACTTTTTTAGACTATGTTGTTCCTCAGTAGTATTAATACTTTTACACACTCTTCTAATACCTTCAGTTTACTACATATGCATAAATGCTTTGAGGTTCTGATATGCTAGTCAGTCTTCTGATCTTACCTGAGAACTGTGTCCTAGCCTCAAAGCATTTCCTCCTCAGAAAAATTATAAGTGACTGCTTGACATAGGTTTTCAGTGTTGCTGTTTAATAAAAACTACCTGTGTTTAATAAGAAGCTGGTTAAATCACTGAATGCAAGAGAGCTTCTAAAATCTTCTTTAATAAATTTCTGCTGCTGTATCCCTTAAGCTAGGGATCATTTAACCAGATATTAAAGAGTAGAGTTACTTTGAGGTTCGTACAGATATTTTTAAAAAGCTACCAAGTATATGCATATACTAAAAATTAGAGAAAAAATAATTCACTAAAATGTGGAGAGTGCTACGTTCTGTGTTATGTGTAGCCAGCCCATTAAAGTTTAGTCTATGCAGAGAACTTAGAATAATGTATTTGATGTCATATAGCTGAGATTTCCACTAAATGTACATTGTGATCTTTCATATTTTAAATGTTGATTAAAATATAGGGGATATTACTGATACCTCCGAAACTCTGCTTTTGATAAAACTGTCTTATGCAGATTTATTTAGCATGCATTAGACTGTTCGTAGGAGGGAAGGGGAGCTAAACTTAATTTAATATGATACCAAGGTACTGAGCTAAGTGTTTTAATGTATATAATTTCATTTGGTCTTCATATCATCCATATAAAGTAAGTATTGTTTAGATAATATTTTTGTTTTAAAAATGATGAAACAGGACCAGAAAGGTTACAGAGCTCTTGTTCTATGTTTTACCCTGGTCTGTTAAACCCCAAATCAGCATTTGCTCCTATAAAATATGAACTGAACAATGTCTTTGGCCTTTAGGAACTCTTAATGTAAATAAGGAAATAAAGTGATACATTAAACAGTGTGGGAACTCGTTTTATGAGGTTTTAGGAATATGAAAGCACCACTTAACTATTTGGGGAGGTTAGGGAAGATTTTTGCAGACCAGTTGGTGTTCAAGCTGAGAATTGAATAGAAATTTTTTTAACATGGTTTCAAGTTAGTGCTGCTACTTTAAACTGTTTACAACTTGATATTTTCAGTAATGATGAAGTTAACATCTGAGTATTGTTATGGAATCAAAGATGTGATAAATATTACCTAATAACACATGCAGGCACAGTATTGAGCATGATGTATTATTATGTTATAGTTTTACTTTCTATTATTTTGTTAATATTTTGATGTTATGAATTTAGTAATTCTAGATATGATGTGATTTCTTTTGCTGCAGATGTCCTCCTCGCACTTTCTTACCAGCTCTCTGCAAAATTTTTCTTGACGAAAGTGCCCCAGACAATGTGTTAGAGGTAACAGCCCGTGCCATAACGTACTACCTGGATGTATCTGCAGAATGTACCCGAAGGATTGTTGGGGTAGATGGAGCTATAAAAGCACTTTGTAATCGTTTGGTTGTGGTCGAACTTAACAACAGGACTAGTAGAGACTTGGCTGAACAATGTGTAAAGGTGAGTCTTAATTTTTTTTTTTTTTTNTGGGGCATTCCCCTGTACAGATGCCCTCTTCATCCTGCTCAAGCTCTAACATCCTATGCCAGACTGACCCTCTCCTCCCTGTGGAGCAATCTGCCTCAAGACTAGTGCTAGACTTATCTCTTATGTGGAAGTTTAAGTGGCTGTTTCAGTAGAACAAGAGTTTGAAGTTAGCTTAGATTAGGGTTGTAAAAGAGGGTGTTGGAGAGAAGTGGACAAATTTAGGATGTATTTTAGAGGGAAAATTGGTGAGGTTCAACTGATGGATGTGTAATGTAAAGAAAATGGGGAAAAACTAAGGATGATTTTTAGGTTTCTTGCTTTCTGGATGGTTGTGACATTTATAAAGATGGTGATTTGGGGGTGGAGGCACATATCAGGAGTTTTGTTTTTTTGAATGTGCTCATTTTAAGATGCTTGTGATAATTCTAAATGGAGATAGTGATATAAGTTACTTGGTAGAGGGTGAAGGTAACATTTTGGGAGTTTTCAAAGTATGTGGATGAGATTTATATCCACAGAGTATGAACTAAGGGAATAAATGAGATCAACTGGAGAGATAAGAGAAGGGAGTTTAGGACTGAGGCTACAGTGGAAAACCAAGGGAGCACAAAGTCAAGAGAAAATTGAAGAAAAAAAAAGGTGTGAAATATTCATTGCAGACAGTGAGGAAATGTGGCAGAGTTATTGGACAGTGTGCTCATTTAAGATTGGTGATCATGAATTTATAATGAGATACATTTTCTTGATTATATAAATATTGTTTCTTAGTTAGTCCCTTCTGACATGATTTCAGACCCAGGGAAGGTTGTTGTGGTTGTAGCCCAGGAAATAGGCAAAGGACTTGAGCGTCTTGCTCCTGGAAGGTAGTCAGGTGCTTGTTAATAACTAAAGCTCAAGTTGAATTCAAAGACCAAGGTGAATTAATTGTCTAGGAACTTAGGGTTTCTTTGGAAATGATACTAAGGAATTCCCTAACCAACAACTGAAAAGACAGTTTT